AGTCACATCCTTCTCTACCTAGACTGAGATCCTCACACACGAGCCCTAGCCTACCCGTAATTCCTCGCTACTCTTCTTGCGCAAAACCGTCCTAGTTTTTTCTTTCCAGTCCCGCACTTGCCTCCAATCTAAAATATTAATCGTCACTTTACGGTTTTCCTCAGATCGAACAACCCCAACCTCTCTCCTCCAATTCCAAACTTGAAACCTAATAGATGAAATTCCTTATGCATTGCTACAGGCCTAATCGTAGAGTGACTATCCCATTTCCTCACTGACGTTTTAAGCCCAACCTGAACACCTAGCTCAAAACCTTTTTTTACTAGACCCAAAATCAGATCAGAAAATTATATTTTTATTTTCATTTTGTCATTTTAAAACTGTCACCGCTGTCGATTTTGCTGATTTCACATGTAAAGTTATAAATGAGGAGGGGAGAAATTCTTAAAATACTCGTGTTATGAAATTTAAATACCTGTTGAGGGAATTAAGCACCGTTCAGGAAAAATTATATACTCATTTTGGAAAACCTTTTTTAATAGTAGGAAAATTTAAGTTTGTCCAGAGAAATCTGATTACTTGTCCAAGGAATTAATTATTGTTTATGAAAATTTAAGTATTTATGGGGGAAATATATGTTTTTGTTTGACTTTTTGCAGGTAAATTAAAAGTCCGCCGTGTCTTATAGATTGTGGGCTAAAATACATTTTGCTTCGCTACCATATTGTCTTATGACAATGACAAGTGCTTGGCATTCTCTCCAGTGCCTCGTAACCGGGGTAGATACGAAGAGGTTGCTGAAATTTTGGGTGACTTGGGCTTGCGGATAACTTAAAATTTTGGATTATTTAAACTATTATTTAAACTTATTAAAATGGCTAAAATTTTTTTGAACTAAAGTATTTGAAAGAAGGCTACGAAAATTTGGAAAATAACTCAAATTTAGGCTCTTTGGTTTGAAAATAATTCAAAATTTCACTTCTAGGTTTGAAAAATGATTTAAAATTCGGCTTTTAAAATAGAAATTAATTCAAACTTAGGCTAGCTCTTAGGCCTAAAAATATGATTTAAATTTGAACTTTTGAAGTTGGAAAGTATTTCAAATTTAGCCTTTTATGTTTGATGAAGGATTCAAACATGGACTTTTTAAATTTGTAAAATAACTTAGTTTTTAATCATTTGGATTTTATTAAAAATTGAGTATAATATGGAATATTTGTACTTGCAAAATGATTTAATATATTTGGGGCTAACCTTAAAGACAAATGCATCTTTTTAAGTACTCCCCAAGGACTTAATACTTCTATTCACCACTGAATTCGCAATATAACATGCTGGCGAATAAAATGCGATTCTTAAAAGCCCAACATAGAACTTAATTTAACCCATGATTAGGGGAGTCAATTCAGGTTAGTTGGTCATGTTCGGGTCCGACTCGAAAATGACCCGACCCGAATAGAGTTATCACGAACTCGACTCAAATAATAAATGTTCGAAAATTAAGATCCAAACCCGACCCAAACTCAAGTTTATCCGCTACCGACCCGAGCTTTCATGCATATTCCGGTCATGTTTGGGTTTTCAGGTTAAACCTGAACTCGACCCGACCCAAATAATAAACGGGTAGAATTCTCTGACCCAAACCTGACCTAAAACATATGTGTCAACCCTAACCTGAATTTTTCGAATAAAGTTTGAGTCGTGCTGGCGTGTCGGTTCAATTTTTTACACCCCTACCCATGATCATAATATTTTTGCAAATATTTCATTCTTTGAATGATTTCATAGTGTATATAAACCTCGTGGATGTTCTCAAGTTAAATGCAATATTTTGGAATTTGTGCCAGTGCTTTTTAGATTTATATGACCAATAAGTTGAATATTCTCGAGTTATAAATATTTTAAGATTCTTATAAAAATGAGCCAACTATGCATAAATTCAAAATATTGCATGTGCCTCTTGATACAAATTTCACATCAAATTCATAATTTAAAGATCATGCAATCCTTTAAAGTTTATACCATTTTTACACATGCTGTCTTTAAATCGAATTTAAAATGCTTTCTTGTGCTCGAACTAAAATGTTTCAACAAACAGTCTGAGATTACTGTGCAACCTACTTAAAATTAACTTTTAAAATCCACATGTGCTCCACCAAATTGGCAAATGTTTATATACTTCAATGGATTAAGAATGTTGCGCGGATTAGGGTTAAATTTTCATTCAAATTGTTCTTGCTTTGATAGGCATGTAAAATTCTTTTAAGAAAATTTATGATTATTTTAAAGTTAATACCCCTCATATTTAAAAAAAACAAATTCAAGATAATCAAATTATGCATGCTTTCAATCGGGTTGTCTTATCTATTAGGCAGGGTTGTAAGTTCCACTTGACTGATTTTATTCTCTCCCTTTTAAGAATTGGAGTGGACGAGTTTAGTAATTGCAATAATCAGATAACTTATAATTCAATTTAAAGTGCCTAGTTGTGATCTGATTAAATTTTTAAATGTTTCGACAAACAGTCTGATAATATTGTGTATCCACATGTGTTCTAGAAAATTGGCAAATGTTTGAATTTCAATGGTCTGAGAATGTTGTACGGGATAGGGTTAAATGTTTATTCAACTAGTTTTTCCTCTGATAGGCGTGTAAATTTTTTTCAGAAAATCTATGATTATTTTAAAGTAAATACCCCTCGTATTTTAAAAAATCAAATTTATGATAATCAAATCATGCATGCTTTCAATCAGCTTGTCTTTTCCATAAGCAGGGTTGTAAATCCAACTCCATTAGTCCTATTTTATTTCTTTTAAAGACTGGAGTTGATGTGTCTTTAGTTTCTCAATTAGTCCTAATAACTTCAATAATATGCAAAACCCAAATATAAAAATTGGCAATTTCCAATCACCTTGTTTGATCCTACTTTTAAAGACTGGAGTTGATAAAATTGATATTTTTAGGCATTTCAGTGTCAAATTTCACTATAAATTTTAAGCATAAGTATTTCAAATATCCAAATCCACGATGACGGCCGAGTTGATAAAAGATTTCAACTGGATGTGTCCATTTTTAAAATTATGTTTCATCAAATATTTAAATAAATCTAACTATTATAATTATTTAACCCGATCCTTTATATGCAAGATAGAGCTGAAAATATTCACTTACAATCACGTGAATCTTAAACTCAATTCTTTACTAGTAAGATGTAAAGTTGACATGGTGTAAACCAATAATTCTTTTTCCCAATGATGGCCATGAAGACTGAAAATTTTAATCGGGGGGTTAATTTTTAAAACTAAATAAAAAATTTCAAAGCAAACAAATCAAAATTCTAAGTTAAAATTAAGCACTTAAAAAACTTTAAACAAATTTCATCCACCTTCCACAACAATTTATCTGAGAATAAATTTTTGACCGATTTCAACTCATAAAGAACTAATGTCACATTGAGTGTATCAATATATTCACTCAAAACAATTTCATGCCAGTTGGGACGTGACACGAGTTCTCCGTCTGTGTGATTTTACCTAATGGATTCACAAAAAATAGCAGTTAAGACAAGATTCATCCGACTAGGTGATATGCCATTTATTGTCTGTATGATCCCCAATGACTTTTACCATTTGAGTTGTGAATCATAATGATACAATTGATTGACACAAAATCTTCTATTAGCTAAAATCGTCTTAATTTAACATCTTAGACAAACATTCACCCCAAATTTATAAGGGTTTCTTGGATAACACAATCTGTTGTTGTTGACAAGGATCATTCAATCAGGCTGGGTCGAGCACTTTCTTCGACCTAAGTAGATTGGGGGCCATGATGACTTGGGATGTTGGAACAATCAGTTCTTGATTGGGTTTGTCATTATATTCCCATTCGTTTTAAGCTCAAGGTGTTAATTCTTATTACCTAAAATCTAAGTCCATAGTTACTATATGCAGAATATTCAGTGTTTAATAAATCACATAACATAAAATCTAAGCATAAAATCTAAGTCCATTGTTACTATATGCTTAATATTTAGTGTTTAATAAATCACATAACATAAAATCTAAGTTCGTTGTTATTATATGTTGACTATTCAATTTTTAATGACTAGCCTTAATCAAAAGTGCGCTCTTACTATTATGAGGGATAATTAACCATAGGGGTTTGTGCCTATGTGAAACCTCAACCCTAGATAAAAAACCTATATTAAAATGTCATCACAAAATGATGGCGAAATTTCTGGGCAGTATTTTATCCACAATTCAATTTGCCAACAAAGCTCTCAACGAGAGTCCGGGGCCGAATTTTCGGAGCTTACAAATGTTTACTCAGTTGATTAAGTAAATATGTGAAGGACTCCAGTTTGCTCTTGCTATTCTCCAATTGATTTAAGAGGCTTGGTGAGTTTTCTCATCAATGCAAGGTCTCGATGAGATTCCACCTCAGTTTTGTGATCTCGCTATTTTTATCCTCACTGTTCTTTTCTCTCTCCCCCTCTCTCCCCCTCTCTCTCACAGACACACCCCACCCACCTTTGTTTGCCCCTTTGTGAATCTCTCTCTTGGCATTGCTGACCATCTGTCTTAGCTAGGCTTTTTGCCACTTATATAACCATTTATTTCAGGCTAATTTAAGGTTCTCTATTGGTCTTTAGTTTTAGATGATTATGCTCTCTCACACTCTCTCTGTCCTCTCTCCTTCCCGCCCTCTCGCTATCGACATGGCATTGCTTACCAATTACTTCTTATTAAAATTACTAGCATTTCTTTTCCATGTTAGTTTTGTGTAGGCTATTTCTTTTGTTCTGGATGATTTTACATTCAAGTTCTGGTTATTTTTTTACTTGGTCACAGTACTGCATCCAAAAGTGAGTTGTGGTTTGAAATATTATCCAATAACTGTCATTTATGCTGTTCTCCTTTTGTTTTCTCTTTAAAGGTTTCACTACTTATTTGAGTGGTTATCTATTTATAGTACATTTCTTCTACATGCCTTTTCAGGCTTTAGGAGCTCGAGGCTTGAAAGTCGGTGGCACACTTCAGCAGCGTGCAGAGAGGCTTTTTCTCACAAAGGTCTTCATTTTCAAAGCTGATTTCTTTTTTATTTTTCTAAGTTCTTTAAGAAATTCATAGTTAAATGTTTCTGTTGACTTTCATGCTATTATTTATTGAACTGATGGTTTATGAGAAATTATCTTAATGGTTATATTCATCTATAATGTTTCTGAGAAATTCTTGTCCTTCTGCAGCAAACGCCTTTGGATCAACTTGACAAAAAACATTTTGCCAAAGGCTTCCGCACCTCACATCAAAATGGTGGATCTACTGTTCTACAGCAGAATTCACAAAAAGAAATTGCTTTGCTCGAAGCTAAATTGCAGCGCATGTGTGAATTTGTAATGGAGGTATGCTTCTTACTTAGTTTGCAAGGTTATAATGAATAATGACAGAGATGGAAAGCATAGCTTTAGCATATTTGTCTTTATGGATACTCCTGAAGGTTATGTAATATCTGTGTAATCCTGTCATTGACAACTACATATTTTATCAAAATACTCTGAATATCTTTGGCCTCATCACAGCTGCTTTTTTTTAAAAAATAATTTTTGGAATAATGTTTCTGTAATCCTCATGTTCTCAACTATTTTTTCATTTTCTACCACATGAATCTTACAAAGTAGTTTCAGCACTTACAAACATACCCAAGAGAAGCAATTTTTTTCTTCATCTGTTGTATGCTTAATTTTTAAAGCTAATGGCTGTTTGTCATCTTTGGAATTTTGTATCTCTAAATCTGCATGTTGACAACTTTTTTTTATTGATTTTGTGGCTTGAACCAAATCTAGTAGTTTTATCACTAAAATTTATTCCTAATACCTAAGTTAAGTGCTGAAGCTTGATTAGGCGCAGATGCCAAATTTGAACCCAAGATCACCTGGATGGGGCCAAAAACCTCTTCCAATGAAATAAATAAATACTTATATTAAGGTTTTTAAAGGTGCACTTCTAAAGAGATGCATGGATTTGAGGTGTAACACTTTTCTAGACTTTGAGGCACTCTCGTTGTGCTAACCATGTCCCTCGAAGTGCTCCATGAGATGAAGTGGACATTTCATGCACATTTTAATTTTGACCACAATATAATGCTGTTATTAATGGACTTGAGCGTAGGCAGATGATGTGTGACATGGTACTAAGATGTGGGAGACTTGAAACTCTACTGGATGAAGTATCTCATCATGAAAAGGTGAGCAACCTTAAAAGGAAGGAGGATCTTATCATGAAAAGGTGAGCAACCATAGAAGGAAGGAGGATCCATGATACAGAGTTAACACCCAAACCACAATTGGAAAAGCAAATGTTATTATTGGAAGCCAATAAACAGTTACAACAACACACTTAAAAGGGAAATCACAACAACACGACACACAAAATTTTGAAATAACAACACACTCAAACTAAGGTGGATCTTGTGGTGGTGGTAGTGATCAACGAATGTTTGGAGAGATGGTAGCAAGGGTATAGTTGGGCTAGGCAACGAAGGAACAATGGCTCGAGCTGGAGGTGGTTGTGGGCGGAGGGAAAAATGCGTGGGGAAAGTGTTGGAACGACAGCTAGGCTGAAGGGATGCAGTTCAGGTAGTTGAAACAACAGTGAACAACTGTTAACATTGGAGAGGATGGCTGGACCGAAGTTGGATGGCAGGGAGGGCTCTAAGAAATTCTAGCTGCATTGTTTTTTGGTGAAGATTACAAGCGACAATGAACTGGATGAAGGGGAAGCAATGTAGGAAGGCACAAGGAAGGGTAGAATAGGATAAATATCACATCGGCTGCGAGATAGAACCATAACACCATTTAATCCTTAGAGGACAATCATCACCTTGAAACAAGATTTAGCCAGAGCACCACTTGTCCTTAGATACAACACTAGAAGGGATAAAGCGAGATGTCGACTGTTGTCCTAAATAGAAACATTGCAAAACTCCCTTCCAAATCCTAATACAACACATATATATGAAATAACTTTAAATAAATAAAGGATTAAAGATAACATACTGAAAATTGGAAAGAAATTAAAAGGGGAGCTGCTCGATTAATTCAGAGCTATTCGTGTGCATCTCCCACGTTTGGGTCACAGGAGTATCACATGTAGGACATGATCCTGCCTTTGCTTTGGATGTCTCGCGTCAGTGCGGGAAAGAAGTTCACGTCAGTCTCTCTGGGTTGGGCGAGCTTCGACCTCATTCGCCGAAGTTTGTCTTCTCGTAATATGACATCTTGTCGACCATATTGAGGGTGGCTTAAATGTTATAATCTCTTGGTAAGTTATTACGTTAATCGTTATCATATCAATGCAAATCTTGATAGAATAAGTATTTGTCTTTTTTTGGCCCAACTTAAACTGGAGCTGCATATCGACATAGATTTTCATAAAATAACTCTCTATGTAATTTGCAACTTTCACTCATGCTCGACTGGATGTATCTGATAAATATGCATGGAAGGAGGAATCAACCATGGGATGATGTATATGGCAGACTGAACAACTCTCACTAGCATCTACTCAAGAGAGACCTCCTCTTCTTCTCTGGTAGGACTTAGATCTTATTGAAAAATTTTCTTCCTCTCCATCCTCTGAAGATAATTTTCATCTCCTGCCTTATCATATGCCCGATGTACACAACTTGATAGATTTTAACATCCAACAGACTCCATATAATTTTCTAGAGATGGCTCACCAAAGCCTCATCTTCGACATGTCAGATCTCCCTTAGCAGGGGCAACTTAAGACGTATGTTATATATATCTGAAAATTCTAAAACCCTCTTTTTAATGGTTGCCTTGTGTCTGGTATCGACTCCTCAAACTAATGGTCCTTTTGGACATCTAATGCTAGTCATGTTGATGCTTTTTTCAATGCTTGACAAAATGTAATTTGAAGCACCACAACCTCTTATACTGCCCGAGTGCTCATTAACTCGAAGTCACTACCTTTTAGAACAACTACTGTTAGCTAAGCTGGAATCTCTCCTAGTTCAACTAGAATCGATGGTGTCTCTTGTTGGCTGAAAGTTGAGAATCTTCCCTGAAGTCTTTATCTTCTCACAAATCATTATTTTTTTCTTCAGCTCTTCGATAACTGAAAGAGATCATTCTCCTTATTGTGCAGATTTAATATGCACAAATCTGTGACACTTAAAACACTTCATGGCTGGGATGAATTTGAGAATGCTTATTGGTTTCACCTGTTCTCCAATTTTAATCAGTTTCTCCTTAGTTAGGGTTAACTTGGATGTTCCTCTTGGTATATTCTGGCTGTAAAATCCTAAGATTGAACTTTGTTTGTAAGATGTGGTGATTGCCCGGTGATTTAGTCTCTCTGTTTTTGAAGCTCAGGTCTGAACATTCGGTTTGTAGTGAGTTGGTAGGTATTGACGTTGCATCTTCTGTTTCATCTTGGACTTGGTAGTGATACTGTCTTTTTCCTCATGCCGGCATAGGTGTTTCAAATTTTTCCACCAAAGTAATTCACTCTTTTTTAGCTTGTTGGCGGTCAGTTTCACCATTACGTTCAATGGAACTTCCTGGTACTTAAGAAAATATTTTGAGGTCTGAAGCCATTCGATGAACTCGTTTGGCTCCAGGTGGGGTCAAAATGTGACAAATTCATCATTATTTCAAATTCTTGCTTCTCAATTATGTCAAAATTTTTGGGATATAGGTCCTTCATCTTTAGAATCCATATGGTGGAAGAAATTCATTCCATCTCTTCGATCTAGAAAATCACCGTTGCAGCTACGGGTGACCCTTTTGGTTTGTCTTCTCGAAGGCGGCAAACCTCTATTGCAGTTGGAGGATTTCCCGTTACAAATACTGCATAGAAGCTTTCTAGACCTCTCTTTGAGAATTTCTCATAAACGAAATCGTGACTTTTCCTTCCGTTCCGGTCTTCGGAAATTATCTCTTCAATTGCATAATTAGGGTTTTGGGTGTAGTTAGGGGTGATGTAGGGTGTAAGGATGGTTTGAACGAAAAGGAAGGGTCAAATTTTTCCTTGTTGTGGAGATGAAGATAAGTTTGGGTATTTGATGAATGCTGGAAATTCTAGGATAGGACTAGGTTTAGGCTAGCTCTGATACCAAATGATAATTGAGTTAACCTAAACCACAATGACAAAAAAAAATATTATTACTAAAATCAATATAAGATTACTTAACAACAAACACAACACAAACACTCGAATTAGGGTGGGTCTTGGTGATAGTGATGGTGATCAACGAGGGTTTGGGGAGACGGTAGCGAAGGAACAACAGTTTGGAGCGATTTTGGGTGGTAGGAACAATGATGGTAGCACAGGGGAAGTGCTGGAACAACAACTAGGCTGCATGGATGCAGTTTAGGTTATCTTGCTTGAGCACCACTTGACACCTGGTGGAGAATCACCTTATTGGCACGAGATATAGTCGAAGCACCACTCGCCCTTGGATATAATTCTAAAAAGGAGAAATTGTAACGACGACTTCTTTTCTGAACTGAAACAGTACAAAGCTCTCTTCCTAAACCTAATACAACACATACATAAGAAATGAATAGAAAGGAAGGATTAAAGGAAACATTTTGAAAATTGGAAAGAAATAAGAAGGGGACTGCTCGGTTTGATTCATCGCCGTTCGCGTGACCCATCTCTTGTGTTTGGGTTGCACACGGAATGTGTTTCTGCCTTTGTTTTTGATGTCCCGCGTCTGTGCTAGAGGGACACTCCCATCAATCCAAAAAGTTGCAAGAAATAAGATATATGCTGTTGTGGCCTGATGTGAGATAGATAGTCTTTGATTCTCATGGTTTGGGTTAGATGGCTTTTGAAGAGAAATATGAATAAGGAGGAGAGAGATTTAGGGAAAAATAATAAATTTTTTGATGTCCCTTTTTATATAATGAAGTACAATTACAATAAAATTTATTGAACTGGTTTGATTCAATTTTAACTTAGAACAAGCTCTAGTTTTTTATGTTCTTTAACTTATAATTATGTGGCATTATAAGCAAACAATGCATGCATGCTTTTTAAACATGTAGTGAGCACTTTAATTAACAAAAAAGCCACTTTCCTTCTCGTTTTATACAATGAAGCAAAAGAGAACCTATGCACTTTACATTATGCTTTAAAATATTAATATGATCATAAATAAATGTGTACGAGATGAAAAAAATTTACTTTTTTCACTTTTTTTAAACAAATGACATTTGATGATTTTAATAATTTTTAGCATTGTTTGATTGTCAATCACAACAACAAGAACTACAACAACAAAGCCTTAATCCCACTATGTTGGGCCGGCTACATGAATCCTTTTTCTCCATTGCGTCCTACTTATTCTAATAAATTAGGATCATTTTTTTCACAATAAGCTCAAGTCTTTTTAGGTTTACCTCTGACTTTTTTAACATAAGTTAAATCTAAACATCTACTTGCCTAATCGGATCATTAGATGGTCGACGTTTAATGCGACCAAACCATCTAAGATGACTCTCTCTAATTTTGTCCATCACGATGTTTAAAGATTTTTATTGTCAATCACGAGCTCTAAAATTTTGCAGTGGATGGCTTTGATTGGGCAGATAATGAAGAGTTTGAATTGTAGAGAATTTTAAACATCTTTAAATCAAATATGTGAGTTTTTGATGACATATTGCATTTATTAGACATTTTTTGTTGATGAAATACATGAGTGAAATGAGATTGCTGCGATGCGTTTTAGATCTACCTAATATTTTTTTTCATAATTGTTGAATGGTTATATTATCATAAAAAATGATGTAACTCGTTTCAAATGTACTTTTTACATTGTAAATCATGATCAGTATTTTGATCACGAGTTTGAAGGTTATATAAAGGATAGGTGGAAGCCAAAATTGAAAGGAAAATGGTTATTATCTATATAAGATGAGAATAAAAATTTTCGACCCAATTAGATTTTAATTTTATGTCCTTATGCTTGATGAATTCCATCCTTTTTCCTTTACATCATTAAAACTAGTGGCATGTGTGCTTTCATGAATTTTAAGATTGTTTTACAAGCAATTAGTACGTCAAAATTTTCTTATTTGATGACTTTGGTTGCATGAGGAGATAATGACATATTCATAGTGTTCAAACATTCAAATGATTCCGAATAAAAATCTGAATTATTTATCATTCCTTGCATTATTGGACGGTTTTGATTTGTCCGAATATACAAGTAAAATTTAACTTTTAACGAAGCTTTTATATTTCATTTGATAATGTATGTGTTTTTTACATGCTTGATGAATTATTAGCATCATTGAAATTGATGTACTTTGATTCATATGTAATTTCAATGTTGCGCACACACCCACCGTTCTATATGTTTGCAACTACGTATATAATATCATCTGTTCTTCTTAAGGACCAAACAACTTCATGACATCTCATACACATTTACACTAAACACCCCCATGCATGGTTGTTTTTGTATATTTCTTTGTTTCTTTATTTGTATACAACGAGCAGATCTATGACCACAATTATTTTTTGCTTTTTAAAATTGTACAATTGATTACATACAAACAACAACAATAAGCCTTTATACCACTAAGTGGGGTCGGTTACATGAATCCTTTTTCTCCATTGCGCCCTATTGAGTGACATATTTTCATTTAATTATAATAAATTAAGATTATTTTTTATACAACATGTCAAAGTCTTTCTAGGTCTACCTCTGCCTTTTTTAACATAAATCGAATCTAAAACATCTACTCTCCTAACTGAATCATCTGATGGTCGACGTTTAATATGATCAAACCATCTAAGATGACTCTCTCTAATTTTGTCTGCCACTAGCTACACCAACCCTATCACGAATATATTCATTTTGCATTTTATCTCTAAGTGTAAAGCCACTCACCCCTAAAGTATTCTCTTTTAAAGGCCAATATTCTACGCCATAGAGCATTGTTGGTCTCACCCCTCTTATAAAATCTTCTATTCTGTCGTAGCGGCACTTTTCTATCACAGAACCAACCAATTTGAATTCTACTAATAGCATCTTTATCTATATCACCATCACTTTGAACAATAGAACCGAGATATCTAAAGCGTTCACACCTTTTTATAATTTGATCACCCATAGTTACAACTCTGTCACTAGAGCTAGTACTACTAAAATTGCATTCTATGTATTCGCATTCTATGTATTCAGTTTTGGTTCTACTCAAACGAAGACCTTTAGACTCCAAAGTAAACCTCCATAATTCAATTATTTCCCGAGCTCTTCTTCTAGACTTATGCAGACCGAGCTCTTCTTCTAGACTTATGTAGAAGAAGAATATCATCAGTGAAAAATATACACCAAGGTACATCCTCCTGTAATTGTCTAGTAAGACCATCCATAACTAAAGCAATAAGATATGGGCTTAAAGACGATCCGTAATGTAATCCAATTGAAATAGGAAAGTATTTGGTCAATCCTTTTTCTATTTGAACACTGGTAACAACTCTAGTATACATATTTTTAATGACTTGACTATTAATTATATCAACACCTTTTTACTCTAGAACTCTCCAAGGAATATCTTTTAGAACCTTATCTTAAGCTCTTTCTAAATCAATAAAAATCATTTGTACATCCTCCTTATTCTTTCTGTACTTCTCCATCAAATCTAAATGTATAGCTTCTATGGTAGATCTGCTGGACATAAATCTAAACTGGTTATGAAAAATCTTTTTAACACGTGTAAACCTATGTTCAATTACTCTCTCCCATAATTTTAAATTATGACACGTCAACTTAATTCTTCTATAATTTGCACACTGTTGTGCATCCCCTGTATTCTTAAAAATGAGGACCAAAATACTCTTCCTGCACTCAAACATCATTTTAATTTTTAAAATAATATTAAGTAGTTTAGTAAGCCAAAAAAGTCTCAAATTTTTTAAATATTTTCACATTTCAATTAGGATATCATTAGGTACTACTGACTTTCCACCCTTAGTTTTCTTTAAATCATTATCAACTTCTTTTTTTACTATGCGACTGTAAAAATAAAATATTTTATTATTATTAACGAAGATCACTAAGATCAATTGTATTTTAAAAAACTTCATTGAAAAGTGCATCAAATTGACTCACCCACCTAAGTTGAATATCTTTTTCTAAGAAAAAATATATTTTGATTTTAATTTTTTACTTGATTTAAATTTTTACATTTCTTTTATCTTTGGTTGATTAGTTTATACATATATTTTTCATCCTATTTAATATGTATTTTATTATAAAGATCACTAAAAATAGAATTTTTAGTCTCACAGATTGCTTTCTTAGACTCAATACAGGTCATTTTGTATTTTTCCTAGTTATTGAAGCTTTTACATTTAAACCAAGTTTTATAACACAACTTTTTGTTTTATCTTTTCTTGTAACCACAAACTATTTTTATTTATAAAAACTTTTTCTTTTGATTCTTTAAGTACATCTTTTTTCACTTGTTTAATAGTGTTTGTTATTTTATCCCACATATAATTTGCTTCTTCATGCGAATCACAAATCTTAAAATATTGAAGTTTACTCGTAAACATAAATTTTAGATGCCTCTCTCTAAATCTATGACAATGATTCATAGTATTTATTTTACAACTCTTCATCTTAAAATCCAAAACTAATAATCGATGTTGAGTACTTAAATTCTCACTTGGAATAACCTTACAATATTTACATTCTTGACGATCTCTTCTTCTCATAGTAGAATAATCAATTTGTGTTTTCTTAGACCCATTTTTATAAGTAATATCTTCAATAAAATATTACCAATAACAAAATCATGCGCTAAAATAAAATTTAACATGACTATACCTTTTTCATTAATCAAACCAAAATCGTAGCCACCAGAAATATTTCTAAAAGTTTTTACTACTCTAGCTACATGTCCATTTAAATCTCCTCCAATAAAAATTCTTTCTTCAAGAGATCATTTATATTAGTTCTTCTAGGTCATTCCTGAATTTTTCTTTAGAACCTATATCTACTAAAGGAGAATAAACATTTATAATATTACAATTCATAGTATGAACAACAATTTTATGGGTTAGAATACTTTCTTTAGTGTTATTAATTTTTACAACATTATCTTTTAACTCTTATCTATAATTATTACACATACACCATTTCTAGTGCAACTCTTACATGAATATCAAAATTTAAAGCCTAAGCTATCAATCTCCTAAGCCTTTTCTCAAACCCATTTAGTTTCTTGAATACATAATATATTTATTTTTCTATGAATCATAATATCAATTAATTCCATTAATTTACCTGTGAGAGTGACTATATTCCAAGATGCTATCCTAATATTAGTTGGTGGATTAAAATTTTTACCCACATTCTTCCATAATGTGAGAACACTTGCTTATTTGACATTACATCTGGACGTCGGTGTAGTGGGCTTTGCTCACTTTTCACTGTATTCAAGTCATACAGAGCGTCGCTTTCAGGGAGTGCCCTAGCATTTTACACAATGATCAAAATAATTTATGTTATGATTTTTCAACAGTTCATTGCACGCCGCACAAAAATTGATATTTGAGAAACTATTGCTAACCTGGTTGCTCTTTGTGCAGCGGATTATACAAACTAAAGAAAATGTTGAGAAGAAGCAGGCCTTGACCTATGAAGAAATGGAAGCAGAGCGTGAGGAGGTAAATGAAATTTGTCGTATTATGGATACTTTAATTAATTTGTTTCTGGTCATAAAGTTTTTCTTTTTTTGGACATAATTCAGTGCTTCAAAATCTTATTATTTATTCTATTTTCGTTAATGGTTGATGCAAGCCTGAGTTTACAATAATGAGTTTACAATCATATTGTTGGATATGATGCTACAATGAAGTTCTTATGTAATTCTTATTACATTTTATCCCATAATGTAAACTCTATAGCTGATGAATAAAATTTGGGTGATTTTAGTTTGGGTCATTATCATGTTGGACCATGATATTGGCAGAAATTTAGTTTGTTTTTATGGAAATTGCTTGTTCAAAAATTGTTTCCTAGACTGTGTTAAGTTTTATAATTTTTCTTCTTTCCGGGAGCTGCTATGCTAAATATTTTAACAACATCATGGTCATTAAAAGAAGAAAACTTGCTTTACCAATCCCAAGCATGATGAGAATCACTATGAAGGCGGTTATTTGAGCTAAGGAGTTTAATGGAATATTATGAAGAGCAAAAAAAAAAATCTTTATTTTATGTTATTATCCTTGAGAATTCATGTTTGATATCACAAGAAGTTATTTGTTGTGCATTAGGAAGAAAAATTTACGTTTTAATGTTATGTTGAAGCTATTGAAGGTATATGACTCAGCATTATCTAATATTTAGCAGTTGTAAGTCACGAAAAAGTTTTCGATCACAATAATTACACGGAGATCAACTTAAGCCTATATCTTTATTTATTTATTTATTATAGATATACTAGGATATAAGGAGGTATCTCAGTGCACATTTTTTTTCATATGATATAATTTGGATTGGTTTGTCATTCGTCAAAACAAATGGAAACTTATGGTAGTTGAGAAATTTCTAGAGATTAACGGGCTTAATAAATAATTAAACAAAAATTGGGTGTATGACATAATTTTAGTAGTTGTAAAATTAATAGTTATGAGTAACTATTACTTCGATGATCAAGTGAATTTTGATGTGATGCGTTGCAGTATCTTGCATTTAGTATGGAAAATAATGTCTATAAATTCTTAGGGTTAAGGTTGGGCGGTAACGTGAAGAGCTTTCTCAAAGAGTACTGCGTGATAATGGAGCAGTTTTGAGCTTTAGTCTTAAATTCAATAAAGCTACAGTAAATCACTTTTTACTATGGATTTTAATGTTTAGTGGTACAATTTTATTAATAATCAAGTTTATTTTGAGTGAAGTGAGAATGAGTAACTGGTTTTCTGTAAAGATTAGGATGAATGGTTTGGGAAATGATTATATAAGCGATAATTGAAGATAAGGTAGAACAAATTATACTTAGGTTCTTTGGATATGTAGAATAATGGTTATATAAAATTCATAAGGAGTGTTTGGGAAAACCAAACTTAACATTTGTAGAGCTTGCATAAAAATAATTATGAAGATTAGATTTAACATCTTAAGTTGTCAGGATTGAACTGAGAACATGGAATCATAAAGCTGATTCAAAATTGTATAGAGAAGTGTAAAGATGTTGATGGCGATGATGAAGATGAATTTAATGAAAAAAATTTTCAGCTTTGGTTTTGAACCAGTTAACTTTTGAGATACTATTCCTGTAACAACATGTAAAATATGGTTTACAGACCTTCCTATCGTGCTTCTGTCCTTACTATGTGATTATACCCTTCACGATTTTGTATTTTTATGTATAAGGGCTTGCAAGGGAACTGCTTTGCTTCTAACGCACAAGCTTTTAATTTGTTCTAGTTGCTCTGAAGTTCAATGTTATAGCCCCAAATTCTTTTATTCCGTTTAAAGAGAAATATTTCAGCTGGGCGGTCTAACCGTCTTGAGATAAAAAAATGAAATTTTAGGTAGAAATTTAGAAAACATGAATACTATGCGTGAACTTCTAGTAGGGGTGTTTTTTGCCACCAGTTCTACAGTACCATGAATTGAACCGGGCACGGAAAACTCTTAGCGACCCATGGACCGGTCAGAACAACGAATTGAGGACCGTATGACCTATATTTGGATTGGGCGTCCTTTCAACAATGGGCACAATCCTTATTTTTAGGGTTTTTATATTTGATTTCTATGTAGACTTTTAGTTTTTGATTGAATTTTCTATCACGACAGTTGTCTGATGTTCATATTTTCTCTTCTAGGTTTGTATCCGAGGGTAAGTGGTGCTTCGACTATATCTTGTTCCGAGGTGTGACTCTCCTTCAACGGTCGAGTGGTGCTTCGGCGAGATGGTGTTTATCATTTCTCAACTTTTTTGTATCCCTTTTGCTTCGCTACCACACATGCAACCGTCTCGACAGCCACCTCTCGATTGTCTTGCTGCAGTTCCTACTCTCCCAACTACTGCTTGCTCACTGCCAGTCGTCCAAAATCATTTCTCCGGCAGCCCTACTACAATCCTCAGATATTTTTCTTTCCCCCTTGTATTACCTTTTCACACCTCCTTTCACCCACCCACACTTGAACTCTAATCACACCACCGATGAGGCAATAGCCTGATACCGATCAGGAGTTTATCATGGAAGAGATGGAATGACAACTTCGACAAGCGATACGACTCGATGAAATTGAGAAAATGAGACCATCCAGATGCGTCACCTGTAGTTACAACGGTGACTTCTTTGATGACAACAATAAAGTGAATCTTTTCTGTCATGCAGATTTAATGGATGAAGAACTTCTATCCTGAAGATTTGACGTGAAATATCTGAGAAGTTTTAATTTTGAAGTAAAGGTGGATTTTTCATTCTTCGATGGCCACATGAATTCGGGCAAGGTCATCGAGTGGCTCTGGACCTTGGAATGTGCCTTGGAGTGCTAAGATGTAACACCAAACGAAATGGTGAAACAACTCGTCTGCAAGTTAAAAAAAAGTGTGTCTCAGTTTCGTGTGAACTTGAAGATTCTTCGACAAGGAGAAGGGGAGAGTAAAATTACTACCTGGTGTAAGATAAAATATGAGATGTAGCTTCGGTGCTTATTAACTCACCACACACCAGATGTTCAGATCTTGTCTCAAAAGTTGAGAGACCACGTCACCAGGAGACCACATTTTACAGACATGGTTCAACTCATGGGCATATCAAAGCCAACCCCGTTCAAGGATAAACATATTCAGAGTAGAGAATATGTGGAGCGAACTAATATGCATCATTGCATAACCAAATAAATGATCTATTTCACCGAGCATGACACTAATCATGAAATGGGAAATGACACATCAGATACTGAAAAAAGTGATTACATATAATAGTACTAGCTGCCAGCTAACGCGGAAAAGACGCCATCAATTCCAATTGAACCCAAGAGATAGATTCTAACTGATTTAACAGTAACTGTTATAGAATATAGTGATTTATAGCAAATGGGCATCCATCCAGAGTATGATATTGTGGTGCTTCGAACTACTATTATGAAGACGTTAAGAGGAGCATCAACATACTTGACATTGGAGGTCCAAAATAGTAATGAGTTTAAGTAGTCACAGGGCAACCTCAGGTAAATGGATTTCGTAATTTTTAGATATATTGCCTACCTTTTGAGTTGACCCAGCAGATGGAGGTCCAACATGTCAGAGATGAAACTCTTTTGTGCCACTTATGGAAGACTATATTAAGTTAATGGGGTGTTAGAATCCGTTTAGCAGTGTATCCACCGACACATGATCAGACATGATGGTTGCACCGTAGTGTTGGAAATCACCTCAGGATTTTTGTGCTAGAGAACATTCTACAGTTAGACCTAGGTCCTTCCCAAGAAGGGCCTCTTCTGAGTTGTTATGTGTAAGTGTGATCCAACCTGCTATAAATGCCATTTTAGAGTTGATTCCTCTTGACATACTTTTTTATCAGATACCTTCTGCCAAGCACGAGGAGTGGGAAAAACAAATTATAGATTTTCTTGCTCGGAATTTGGCTCATGAGAATCTGCATCGTTATGCAGCTCCAGCTTAAGTTATGCGAAAAGTGGATGAATACTTGTTATATCAGGATGTGTTTTGGAATGATAACACCTACAAGTTTGAATTACCAGGAGTTTACAACATTTCCACTACCTTCAAAGGGGGCGAGCCTACTATGAGAAAATAGAAGCTTCGATAGATCCCCCATTCCGGGAGACTAATGCTCAAGCTTACCGCAGAGGGGCTTTTGCGACACCTGCTACTGTATCACGAATTGGACCGGATGTGGAAAAGGTCCTAGTGACCTGAGACCGGTTAGAACAACGAATTGAGGGTTAACTGACCTTTCTTATGTGGATTTGAGGCCTCATTTCAACAATGGGCTCAATCCTAATTACTTAAGGCTTATGATTCATATGTTTATTTTTCAGTTTTTGATTTTGTTTTTTCTCTGGATAGCTCTCAACGTCCAGGAATTCTCTTCTATGGCTGTATTCAAGGGTAAGTGTTGCTCCGACTATATCTCATTTTGAGGTGATGACTCTCCTCCAAGGGTCGAGTGGTGCTCCGATTTTATCTAACTCTCGAGGTGGTTTTATCATTTTTCAACTCTGCATCCCTCATCACTTTGCCACCACACATTCCTCCTCGCTGCAGCCACCTCCCATCGCTTTGCCACCACACATTCCTCCTCGCTGCAGCCACCTCCCGGCTGTCTTCCTACAGTTCCTGCTATCCCAACTTCCGCTTTCTCACTGCGAGTCTCCCAGAATCATTCCTCTGACACCTCTGCTTCTATCAAAGCCACCGACAACCTTTCCTCTACCCTTTTTCAACCGTTTACCTCGTTTTTGCGGCTTTGTAAAGCCCCCTGTCTTGCTGTCCGATGCTGTTCTAGCCACCTGAACTGTATCACTTCAACTCATTGTCATTCTAGCACTTCTCTTGCACTAGCTTTCCTAACCCTGTTGCCCTTGATCATTCCCTTTGCTGCCAAGCTGCTGTTCCTCTCACCCATAACCTGCCCCTAGACGTCATTCCTTAGCTGTCCAATCCACCCACCCCCTTGTCACTGCCTATCCAAGCACCTATCGGCCACCACCACCATCCGAGATTGATCCGAGTTAACTGTTTCTGCCTGTCTGTTGCAATTTCCTATTTTTGGGTATCTTCTTGTTGTAATTTTCATTCAGATATATTTGATTGTAACCACCTATTTGCTTTTTGTAATACTATTTGCTTTTCCTGTTTTGGTTTTGGTTAACTTCAATATCATCACTTCTTTACTAACAATTTATTATAATCTCATTCACTAGTGCCCTTCCCCCACCATCCCATTACTTGTATCTGCCATTATTATTATTTTAAAATAATTTGTATTTGCAAAATAGCCAAAGATGTACGGATATTGTTCAATACTCGTGGATATTGCTGGTCTAAATCTGCCACTGGGAAAAATTCTCTTATTATTCTGGTTGCGAGATTTTGGATTCCAGTGATAATAACGGCCTGTATTTGTGCAAAATTTTGTTTTAATTCCAGTGATAATAACGACCTGTATATGGTTGCGAGATTTTGGATAACATATGGTGAAGTTGCTCAAATGTTATATGCAGATATATATATATATTGAGAGAGAGAGAGAGAGAGATTCCAACATTTCTCTAAGCAAGTTGAGATTCACTTTTCATCTTTTCTTTCTTGCCTCTAACATCGCCAATTTTATGATTTAAAAAGAAATCTTTTCCAGAAACTTGACTTTTTTTTTTTTTCGCATTGAGCAGGAAGAGGTGCAGGCTGATAGTGAAAGCGATGATGATGAAAGGCAAATTTACAACCCTCTGAAACTACCTATGGGCTGGGATGGAAAGCCTATCCCATACTGGCTTTATAAACTTCATGGTCTGGGCCAAGTATGTATTTGATGTGACTTGTAATTCAATCTCGATTTGAGTTTTTAAAATAGTTCCTTCATTAACATCATTTCATGTAGTTCCTTTATTAAACATTTCATAACAATGCACATCCTTTTGTTTCCATGCTCTACTCGTGATATCTTCATTAAAAATTTTATTACTATAATCATTTATAAAATTATCTATGGAAGTTGGTTCTGGTTTGCACCTGCCTAACATGCACTTAATGCTGTGTTTTTTAGTTATATGCCTTGCTGTTTAATTAGTGCTCTTTCTTTGTGCATGTCCATTGTTAGAGAAAAGTTTACTTAACCATTACTTAATAGAGGATTTTTTTTATATGTAATATTGTCTTATTAACTAGTGTCCTATCTGGAATATAGGGATCAATATAATCGGACATTACAAAGTAAAATATATGTATATTATTGGTCATATTTAGAGAAATTTTCTAAAATGATTTTCCTTTCTCCTAGGTAGATAATATGTATTAAATACTTTAGCTTGTCACATAGCTTGAAATTTAACAAGGAAACATCTTGTATTTGTTTTGAGATGGAAACATGAGAATTAATAATCTTTGTTTATAATACCAGATCTCGAATGAGTGACAACCAACCTCAAATTGTTCTGCTATTTCATGAAACTCGAGATTGCTGGATTGTATAGACACAACCGGATTGCCATAGTTTAAGATTATGAATTATGTAATTCAAAAATCAAATTCCCTAGGAAGATCTTGACCCACGTCATTTGACAAGTAGAGTGTGTTATGTCTCTATATTTTGTCTCAACAATTGATCTGTATGCCATTGTTTCTTTCTTATTTTTTTGTGTCAACAAGGTGGTTTCCACAAAAATATATTACCCTTTTATGTATTCTATACCAGCAACAGACCCATCTTAGCATCAGAAAGAACTTTCTTGGTAAGTTCATTCTTAGTGGTAGTTCTTTTCCTGCCGTTTTGATAGATTTAAAAATATGCAGAACATACAACAACAAACCTTTATCCCACTAGGTGGGGTCCGCTACATGAATCCTTTATCTCTATTGCGTCCTATTGTGTGTCATATTTTCATTTAATTCTAATAAATTATGATCATTTTTTATACAATATGCCCAAGTTTTTCTAGGTCTACCTCTACCTTTTTTTACATAAGTAAAATCTAAAGCATCTACTTTCCTAATCGGATCATTAGATGGTCGACGTTTAATGTGACCAAACCATCTACCAAACCATCTACTAATTTTTTCCTTCACTGGAGCTACACCAACCCTATCACGGATATATTCATTACACATTTTGTCTCTAATCATTTCTCATTTTGTCTCTACACATTTTGTCTCTAAGTGAAAAGCCACTTATCCACCTAATCATTCTCATCTCGACAACACTTAACTTTGTTTTATGCTTCTCTTTTAAAGACCAACATTTAGCATCATAGAGCATTGTAGGTCTCACCCCCATCTTATAAAATTTTCCTTTCAGTCTAAGCGGTACTTTTCTATCACACAGTAGGCCCGAAGCATTCTTCTACTTCAACCAACCAACTTGAATTCTACCAATAACATTCCTATCTATATCACCATCACTTTGAACAATAGACTCGAGATATCTAAAACATTCACACCTTTCAATAATTTGATCACCCATAGTTACAATTATTTCACTAGAGCTACTACTATTAAAATTACATATGTATTCAGTTTTAGTTCTGCTCAAACGAAGGCCTTTAGACTCCAATGTAGACCTCCATAATTCAAGTTTTCCTGAGCTTTCTCTGTCATCTTATCCACGAGAAGGATGTCATCAGCAAAGCATACACCAAGGTACATCCTCCTGTAAATGTCCCGTAAGTGCATCCACAGCCAAAGTAGAAAGATATAGGCTTAAAGCCGATTCCTGATGTACTCTAACAAAAATAGGAAAATATTTGGTCAATACTCCTTCTGTTTGAACACAAGTAATAGCTCTAGCATACATATCTTTAATTACTTGAATATAAGTCATATCAACACCTTTCTTCTCAAGAATTCTCCAAAGGATATTTCTTGGAATCTTATTGTAAGCTTTTTCTGAATCAATAAAAATCATATGTAGATCCTCTTTATTATCTGTGAACTTCTCCATCAAACCTCTCAATAAATGTATAGCTTTGATAGTAGACCTACTGGCATAAATCCAAATTGATTATGAGAAATTTTCCATTTATGCAGAACATCTTCCATTTATTTTTCTTTGGGAGTTTGCATGTCTTGATTTGCGGCGATCTGCAGTAAAGGAGATATGTGGGTGATAGTAACAATTTAACAGCAATCTCCATTAATTAAAGTCATCTTAAAAAATTATCTTATAATTTGCAACCTTCCAAGTGCCTAGAGTGGTATCAAATGTGCCAGCTAGTTGTCTAGTTTTCTCAAGTATGTTGATGGCATTTTTTCTCTGCGGGATAGGAAAACTCTATTTGTTTTACTTCAATTCTATTTTCAAAATGTATTTGGTACAACTTGAACGTTTAGTTAAAAATGCTTTTATCTAGACCAGGAGGGTTTCATCTACATGGGCTAATAAGATAATATAACTTGATGAACTCTCTCTAACGAAGATGGAGTGATTTGTTAAATAGTTACAAAGGCTAACCTTTGTAAGAACTTCACAAAACTTATCAAATCAAGCTCAAGCTTTTGCGTAAGGCTATTTATTGTTCTGTTGACTTTGCATATTTTTGTCTTCCCTAATTACCATTTCTTGTTGATTGCTTCATATGAATAAATTTAGTGGTTTTTCTGCATATATGGTTTGGTTTCCTTTTATGGCTTTGCTACAAAAGGTTTACCATAGTTAGAACTTTACAAAATTTATTAGATAAAGTTTAAGGCTTTGGTTAAGCTTATAGATAATTTTGTTGAGCTTGCCTAGTTTGGCCTGCTCTAACTATCTTGTTGGTTGCTCCATATTAATGACTTCACTGATATTGCCATAAACTAATATTATCATCCATTTGCAACAAAGGCTAGGTTTTGATTCATGTAGATAGACAAAAGAATTTATATTGAGTTAATTTCAATGATAATTCCATAAAGTAATTTAATCTTTGTTGTTTGCTCAATATGAATGACTTCAATGATATTGCCATAAAGTAATGTTATCATCCATTCGCAACAAAGACTAGGTTTTGATTCATGGACACAGACAAAATAACTTAGATTGAGTTAATATTGGCAATTGGGAAAAATGTTTCATAGTAGTCAATCCCATTAATTTAGTAAAATTTTTGGTTGTCAGGTGATATTTGTACCTATTATGATGAAAGTTGATGACATTAAACCAATGCATGAGTCTAGTTGATTGCCGAAAGGAGGCATTGCCAATTCCAATGTATGCATATTGAGGAAGGAAACCATTTCAGTATCCATAGCTTGCTTCAACTAGATATCCTATTGTGCCTCTTGATATATCCTTGGAATATAAATAGATATGAAGGGTAGGATACAGCTTCAAAACTAGAGGAAAGATGATCAAATGACATACAAAATTGAATATGATAGATCATATACTATACTTTACCTTTTTGAAGAGAAATGGACACAAAGATCAAGGTACTCTATAGGAGGGGGATGGTTAGCCGATTTAAATTCTATGTAAGGTGTTATTTTATATTACATATGAGGTCAATTTGTATTACCCTAGAATTAATAAGAATCATTCATATGGAGTATCAAGGCTTGGAGTACATTGAGTTGATGACATGTTTACATTTAACAACCTCGTTCTATTGAGACAGAGGGATAGGAAATCTAATGAATGATCCGTTATTAGCTCAAAATTTACTAAATTGTGATTTTATAAATTTCCAGGCTTTATCAATAAGAAATGTCTTAGTCGTGGCAGTAGAAAATTTAATTTCTATATCTTGATAGAATGTGTGAAATATAAATAAAACTTCGAATATGCACTTAGAATAAATATACTCATTTGACTCGAGAGTAATCATCAACAGAAGTAATGAAGTATTTGGATTCCAGCTGGGTGAGGAAGGACTTTTTCTCCAAATCTTAGAATGAACCAACTCAAAAAGTACACTATTAGAACTCAATGTAGAAGGTACCATAGGCACTCAATCTCAAGCATTGCATTTAACATAGGGAGGAGAGAACAAACCCCCAAGTTATGCTGGCGGATAACTTAAATGATAATTCTATTTATACTAAATGATAGTGAAAACTAAGGCAAGGGTGTGTGTTGAGCAATAATTTTCAACAGTTTTAGCACGTACATCAATCGCTTCTTTGTACTGTGTTCTTGAAAGGACTTTGTGAGATGCATGAAAGTAATAGAACAATTGTGGGTATCAGTAAGAAGAATGAATAGTAATTTGATGTAAAGTATAAAAACATATGAATATAGGGGATAGATAAGCCCTTAGACGGAGATTTATATTCCTTTCCAAGCACAGGTGTGGAGGATCCATTAACAATGATGATTAATAAAGAGTAATGACATTTAGGAAGGAGAACAATTAGTGATTACCTATTATATGTGAAGAAGCATTGTAGTTTAGAATCCAGGACACACTGGAAGAAGCAATAGCAGATGTGGCCCAAGTCTAAATGACATCAGAGGTAAACAAAGGTTTGAAAGATTTGTACTGAAGATTATAGTTCTCCTAAAATAAATTGGCTAATTCAGAAGAAGTGATTGGATTGGAATTACAAATAGTAGTTGCAGGGGGCCTATGGCAATCTTATGGATGATTACTATGATCCTAACATGAGCAACAGGAAGAGTCTTTTTTTCATAGCCATCACAATAACCTTAGCATGGGAAAACTAGTTAAGATATTAACGGAGTGGGACTTAAAAACCTCAGTGGCTTGAAGAACTCAAGGGAGAACATATGGGGATGGTAGAATTTACCATCTCCTAAGATTTTACATGCTAGAGTGGGTCATGAAGACCTAAGAGGATTTTTGCAATTGAAACTCATCTTTTTGTT